TCAAAATGACAATTTCCACGTCAAATAAAATATCCGCCTATTGCCATTGTCCATATTATGATTTCGACTAGATCATGAGCATTTGTTTAAGAATTGTTATTTCAAAAAATGATGATACCAGATGTTCGGTAAAAGATGACCGTGTCCTGCCCCACCGGTGGCATGTAAAAGAGATGGAAAGTCTGACGAGATGACAATGAATTTTAATGTAGCCTAATGAATATTTCCAAGTCATATTCTCCTATGATATTTTTTGTACTGTGTTGCTCTGTCTGATAACACAACCATGACCTGTGTTAATTTAATCATCTTAATATCCATTTACTTTGTATTTTAAAAGAACTTAAACATTATGTCATCTGTATTAAAAAAGATAAAATATTTGGTTGATTGGGTAACCGTTACAAATATTCCATTACGGCACAATACACAACATTAACGACAAATCCATATCGTGGTTGAGTGTTGTCAAGTTACAAGAATCAAATATTATTGTTAAATTTCGTTTTAAATGATCAAACTCCTTTCGACAGTTATGAGGCAATCGACTGTAGTGTGCAAGGAGAGCCTGAGGCCATATTGATTTGGATCTCGCTATTTGAGCCTTAATTGCTGCGCAGAACAAACGAAATCTGACTCATTTTTGCGCTCATAACCTCAAACTATTTGATTGAAATTAATTTCGAAATATCGCGAAGAATATCTCTCATTTTGCCATGTCCCTCAAACCAAGACATCCGTTGCAAAGGAGATATTTTATGCATATAAATATTCGGGAAAATATTCGTTCTTAAATGAATTCATGTCTGAGTCATAAATTACCAATTAATTTGTCTTTTTCTGGGGCGAAATTGTTGCGTTTGATAAATGACTGTAGTTGACAGGTATTCATTTTCACTGTCTGATATCGACTTCCAGAAGCCTTTTGATGAAATTACTGCATGAATAATTGAAAGTGGTTACCATGTCAAAGGTATTACAGGCACAGGCACACCTGTGACGAAATACGTCTGTGGCATTATTTCATTTGATCATTGTTACCTGATCCTTAGGATGAATGTATTGGACGCTCTGTCATTAAGGAGTCTGCTAATGCGATTCTCCAAGTGGGGTGGCTTTGTGTTTCTGTCAGAAATCCACGATACTGTTATTATCTGGCGAGCACGTTAATGATTTACATATAACTCATTGTCTGTTTACAGCCATTCGACTATCAACATAGGTTGGAAATAAACTGAAGTTAACGCCACCAAGGTATTATGTCTGTAATATGGATACGGCAAATTGTACACGTGTGGGAAATGAATTAGAGTCATGTTCGTTACGAGAGATTTGTATATCATTTCATTAGGCCGGGCTATACATGTAAATGTCAAAATACACAGTGGGCACGGATGTTTGTGTGTTTGTTTGTGTGTTTGTGTGTGTGTGTGTGTGCGTGCGTGCGTGCGTGTGTTGTTTTTATGTTTGTTTTTGTGTGTCAGTGTGTGTGCGCGCGTGCGTGTACGTGGGTATATGTGTTTCTATGTTCCTCTCTCTCTCTCTCTCTCTCTCTCTCTCTCTCTCTCTCTCTCTCTCTCTCTCTCTCTCTCTCTCTCTCTCTCTCTCTCTCTCTCTCTCTCTCTCTCTCTCTCTCTCTGCGCGCGCGGGTGGGTGAGGGCGTGCGTGCGTGTTTCATACAAACAGAGGGAGGTTCTTGAGGTATTGACAAACATGTCTAGGTGCCCTCAGGTTCAGGTTCTGAATCTCTAATCTCCCATGTAACAGGGACTGCTTTGTAATCGAGATGGACCTATTTGTTTCCCACAGATATACATATTTTTTTCTGAGACTAAGTTGTAGTCAAGCATTCCGAATTAACCAGCAGCCTGTGCTGATCATGAGAAACACCCAAATCGATCGGATGGTCAGACTTGGTTCACTAAGGGTCATCGTACCCCGTCGGATCTTTCCCACAATATCGATCACTGGGTTGTCTGGTCCAGACTCTATGATCACAGACCTCCTCCATACAGATGGAATATTGTGAGAACAACGTTAACCAACACAGGACCAAGAACAAATATAGCCGAATATAGTTTACTTCCAGCAGACAGTAAAGTTTCAAATTCATGATGTAAACATTATTCAATGTCAGAGTGACACGAGATATAAATTTGACAAGTAGATCCTCTGCTTGAACTACATAATACACGACAAGCCTGACCTTTAACACTGTAACCGAAACGTGGGCCTGCTCGAATAAGATTGGAGACAAGATGAGATCATTATGGAAATATATAATCGCATTAACAGGTAGAGCACTGTAGGCCAACAGAGATAAACACAGGCTTTTTATCAGTAATCCTTTGTTTGAAGGTACACTGAGTGGGTTTCCTAGCCGAGCTGACTCAAGTTTAAGGATATGTTTTTATTGCTTGTCACGCCAGCTGCAATGCTCTCAGCACGCGACCGCGCGATAATGTTTTCCCCGTACATGGATGTTCAAGGATGAGTTAAGTAGGGACAGTAAGGCATCTAAACATAGACTTGCACAAGTCTCTAAGGTAATAATTAATAGTTTAAATTATCATTTCTAAAAATATAAATATCCCTCTAACAGCTTGCCGTCCTTAAAACTCTCCGCTTATCTTGACTTAAAGGGTAGAATTACTATACATCCATGGGCTAAGCCTTCAGTACAGCCTTGGAGCAATTCTAGTCCAAACACTGAGAAGACCTTGAAGAGGACCCGGTACATGGTATACAGAAACTCGGGGGTATATTTGTCCACAGTGTTGCGATGCTCAAATACCGAAAAGGGAGAAACAGGTAGCGCCTCTTGGTATCCTCACCGGCTGTGGTCGGTTGGTTGATTGGTTGGTTGGTTGTTTAACGTCGCAGTCAGTAATGTTCCAGCGAGATGGCGGTGGTCTGTAAATAATGGAGTCTGGACCAGACAATCCAGTGATCAACAGCATGAGCATCGATCTGCGCACTTGGTATACGATGACATCTCTTGTCGTCCTCAATCACACCATCATAGACATAGAAGTTGTCATGATGTGTGATACGGTCCCCTTAACTAAATATAAACATTTCTAGACAATAAAACTTTCGGTTTGTCCTCACTCACTCGCTCACTCACTCACTCACTCACCCACTCACTCAGTCGCTCGCTAACTTCCTCACTCACTCACTCGCTCGCTCACTCACTCACTCGCTCACTCTCTCACTCACTCGCCCAGTCGCTCGCTAACTTCCTCAGTCACTCACACACTTCAACATAGATGGACTGTAAGTAACGATGAAGCTGTAACAGCATCTTGCTATTTACTCATGCAGCAAGCATCATTATATTTCCAGCAGTTTCTCCTATCTATGTTTAAACGGACGCCTAAGCTAAAAAATGAGAATTTAATTATCAGTGCTGAAACCTAACCGCGTCAAGCGAATGATATCCTTCATGCGTTTTGTATTGAAAAAATGAGGTTTTATGAGACTGCGTTTTGTTATAAAAAGGGACTACAAAAAGTTGAAACGTAGAACGGATCAAATTCGGAAAGAAAATAACAACACAGAGTGTTTCTCGCATCAGTTGTTGGGCGTATCTTTTCATCTAAACATTTAAAACTGTGCTTCTGGAACCTATCGTCTCGTTATTAGGTTTGAGTTAGAAACACTGCAAGTATATATATCCGAGTAGCATACATATGTTTTTGGACCTTACACTACATCAGCCAAGACCAAAGTACACCAAGCGACCGTAAGAATTTCGAATGTTTTATACACCAACAGTGATGTAATACTCGTGAAGACGCGGGTTAAAATTGGTCTTCAGCAACCCATGCTTGTCGTAGGGGGCGACTGACGGGATCGGGTGGTCAGGTTCGCGGACTTGCAGTGCCAATCACTTGGTTGTCACGTCCATACACGATTAATTACAGACCGCCGTCATATTGCTGTAACATAGCGGCGTTAGAAAACAAAGAATCAAAACTAATTGATAATATTGACAATGCATACATTTTTAGTTTAAGCCAGTCTGCCATACAGACCCTGAAGCAAATGTATCCAAGAAAGCCCAGGCAAGTCTAGATTTCCACTTCATGAAGAAAGTCTCTGGGCTCCTTTTTATTGTATTTGTAATTTTAATCTAAAAACTTATATTTTCTGTAAAATATGTTCATTTCAGAGACTAGTCTAGTTTAAGCCCTCTCTACTCGAATAGTAGTCTGTCATACAGACCCTGAAGCAAATATATCCAAGAAAGCCCACGCAAGTCTAGAAAATGTGGCAAGTCTAGATTCAGCTTCTGAAAATGAAGAAAGTCTCAGGGCTCCTTTACATACATTTTATTTTTTGTACTATGAACTTTTTTTCTGTAAAATATGTTAATGTCAGAGACAAGCTGTTAGCCTAGTTTAAGCCCTCTCTACTCGAATAACATCGCGATTATCTCAGTACCGTGTCTGTGTCAGTGTCGGTGTGCGGTTCTCTTCATTCTACATTCTGGGCCATGCAGCCACACGATCCCTGTAACAGTTTCCCCTGCCACAAAGGAGACGTTTGGATACATTCCACCACGGCCAGCCAACCCCCACCAACTCTCATACAAAGACAGAATTTAAGATGCCTTCTCAAACACGCAGCCATCACAAATCATATCCATCAAATGCAGGAAGCCATATTTGTGAAAAAACGTGGTCCTCGTTTTGAATCAATAACGTACACGTATAGTTGCATTTCACAAAAAAAAATCAATTTTGTCAAGCCAGACTAAAAAATATTTGACTTTTTTCAGCGTCGTCTCGGGTTTTGATAAAACCATGCCCTCAAAGAGGCCTCTCAAATTCCCAAAATCTGCCATCTGTGGTAGAACTCGCTCAAGGCAAACCCGCCATCGGCGTAAAGCTGCAAATATTGTTAGGGCTAAATTTCGCCACGCGACAACGTCTATTTTTTTCTGGCACGTGCCACGAAACTGATAAAATTACTCTCTACTGATACGCTACAGTGCGTTTTAGAAATATGGCTGCCATCTTGGTCCAAGGTTCTGAAGCCATGCTGCTTTATGGCACACACAATTTCGGGCTTCGTGCAGTCTCGATCATAGATAAAAACTGTTTCCTGCAAGTGGCGTAAGTATCCCCGCGCCTTAAACATCCAAGTGTGTTGTGGTTGAACGATATAGTGCATGAAAAGTGCCTTTATACATGGAGAACAGCCATTCAGTGGCACCACTGCCATCCGCCGAATGTAGATAAGCACCGTCCTAATGGATTATATGTGTGAGTGTCAGGCTGGGATTTCCTTAACTGTGATGGGGCAGTTGATTTTTAAAGATTAGATGTTTTCTTTATTGTAAAGCTTAGACCAACAGGGTCTCTTTTTTATTATCCAACAATATTTTGATTTTTTTTTTTAAAGTGAAGAACTTTAAATTTGCCAAAATGTTGTCGACCATTCCTTCACTGGTGCCCTAACTCATTAATCCCGTGATGTTTGTACTAAACATGTCTGTATATAAATAAGTGCGTGTATATGAGTAAGTGAGTGAGTTTAGTTTGACGCCGCTTTTAGCAGTATTCCAGCAATATCACGGCGGGGGACACCAGAGATGGGCTTCACACATTGTACCGATGTGTGGAATCGAACCCGGACGTTCGGTATGACGAGCGAAAAATAGGTTTCAGCCACCGACTTGTAGTAGTAAGAACCCTTTACTTACCCATAACACTGTTCATCCTACTTATAAATGAGTATTAAAGACTGTGACACCACTGTCCATGCCGGATATTCATCTATGGCCGCTGAGTGAGTGAGTGAGTTTAGTTATACATCGCGCTTAGCTATATTGCGTGTGTGTGTGTCTGTTGGTGTGTGTCGTGTGTTTGGGTGGATGTGGATGTATGCGTGCTGGTGTGTGTATGTGTGTGTGTGTGTGTGTGTGTGTGTGTGTGTGTGTTTGTAGGTATGTGTGTACGTACGCGTGCGTGTGTGTATGTAGGTATGTTCATGTATTGATGTATCCGTCTGTACGTATGTACGTAAATAAAATTTTAACTATTTTATTCACTTTTATATTTTATATATATCTTCTAGTAACCTAGTGTCTCGTAGGCCGATTGGCCGGGTGCTGTTTTTAATGTTTTATAACATGACTATAAATTTTGTACCACAGCATGTGACACTTAAATAAAATAGTCTTCTTCTTCTTCTTCTTCTATATTCCAGCGGGGGACATCCGGGTCTTTGGCGTGACAAGCGAAAGCTTTAACCACTAGACTACCACATCGCCCCCACAGAACACTGAACATTCTCCATTATCCAACGACACAATTTACTTTTTGGCCTAAAAACAATATAGCAGTGACAATTATTATTGATATACCTCTTTTAAGAAACCTGAATGTCAATGTCTAATTAGAAGCGAAACAATACATTTCAAAGAAGACTCCAGATCACGGAACTGACACTGACCCCGACTATTGCATCGTCTGCTGATCAGTTTTGACCTGTCACGTGACGAATATTGACTCGTCTGCAGAACAAGATGGCGTCTGGTTAATAACATTTCACGGTTTGCAGGGTACTGTAATAAAGCAGGAGGTGGTTAAAGGCTTCACGAACATTAAAGTGACTTTCGCTATAGAAAACGATTAATTATCCCAGCCTAATTGTTTGTATAGGAATGGATCACTGAAATTCAGCAATAACTTTAGGTGTTCGCGAGAAGGAAACTTTTAATTTTCTATAAAAAAGCTGAGTGTCTGGGTTTGGATTCTTCTGCTGGAGAAAATCAGTATTTCTGTCATACTTGAGTCTTGATCTGACAATCAGGTGATGAACCAGATCAACAAGTGATAGCGCATTTACTTTTAAAAAATTAAACAAAAGGCATCACTGAGTTTCTTCGTGTGATCCTTATTCGTTGACCCCCCATCATGGTCCAGATTCGATTATTAACAGACATGCGTCACATTGCTGGAATATCGCGGTGCGGTCTCAAACAACCAACAAACAATAAGAAAACAGTAAAATTCAACTGACCATATATCTGAAGAACAAATAATACTGTAGCCTTTGTTTCGTAACTTCAGTAGTGTCTCTTACAAAGGCAAAGTCTTGAAGTTCAGGTGGTAGTTATTATTGGTTACTCCAGCTGTGATGTAGCTGGAATAGTGTTGGAGCTGCGTAAAACTATACTCAGTCACAAATTACGAGACCCGTGAAGATCCGGGTTAGAATTGATTTTCAGCAACCCATCCTTGTCGTAAAAGGCGACTAACGGGATCGAGAGGTCCGGCTCGCTGACTTGGTTGACATATGTCATCGTATCCCAATTGCATAGATCGATACTCATGATGTTGATCACTAGATGGTCTAGACTCGATTATTTACAGACCGCAGCTATATAGCTGGGATATTGCTGAGTCGGCGTAAAACACAAACAAACAAAAATTACGATGATTCAGGGACTGCGTTTGACATCGATATATCGGATAGTGAATCATTATGTTGACTGTAGCACATACCGATTGTTCTATATTAAAACATTTTGCACGAACCTGTGCCGATATATCATCTTCAAACTAAACATGGTCTGAGCTACGACAAACGGTATCCTTCATTAGTGCCACTTAACTCAGATGCCCAATTGCACACACAACAGCTGCTGGTGTAGAGAATGGAGAGATTAAATTTCTATTTGTCTGGCTTTGAAAATGTTTTATCTCAAACATTGACTGGCATTTCTTACACGTGTTTACAAACACAGAACTAGACGTTAGCTGATTGATGCACTGCGTGTGTATCTCGGAGCTGCGGTCTTATCTTGAGGAAGTATTCCGAGCAGAGTCAGGGGCCTGACTGATAGGGAATGATTGAGTAAAAGTTGTTCAGTGCCGCAGTCTGTACTGTTCCAGTGAATGTGTGCGTTTAGCTTGCGCTTTTAGCAATATTCCAGCAATATCACGGCGGGGGGACACCGGAGATGGGCTTCACAGACTGTACCCATGTGGGTAATCGAATCCGAACCCTCGGCATGACGAGCGAACGCTTTAAAGGTCACATGCAACGCAAAACACAACTCTGCAGATTCTGATACCTTTCGGTATGGACTTACCGAAACAAATCGTCAAAAATGCAAATTCAACTTATAAAGTTGAAAAATAACGCGATGAAAAAAAACGCGCGAAATCGGAGTTCAAACGTTTCACTAAATTTCCCCAGACTTTTCTGGGGAAAACGGGTTTCAACAGCTGGGCGGCGCTTATAGCACGTGCGCAGTGAAGTAGGTTCGCGCAGCTTGGAAGCGATTGTCCGGTGAATGCTCGGTGAAGGCTTTGGTGTGTGCTATTTTTCTAATGTTTTGTTGATATCTCACAGGCGCGAGCTTTTTATATGTTATGACAGTAAATGAACTGTTTATATAATTTCATTCGTCTATTTCACCACACGTTCTTCTTACCGAGTCACTTTCTCAGTTCGATACTTAAAAGCAATGTCATTATTTAGCGTTGACAGAATTTCTAACTGTGATATAGATATGTCGTTGTCACAGACAAAACTCAATGTCTTGTTTTATTGACACCTGTGTGTCTGCCCGCCTGTCTGCTAATGACAATATTCAATACACAGCTGCGATCACTGACCACATGCAATTTGAACTTAAAGGTCACATAAACCCTAGGGGGTACAAATACATAAATCACTAACTGGCATCGTTATAAATGAAACCCCGTCATTAAAACTACTCATTTCGACCTTTAATTGACTTAAATCGACCTTTTTGACAACAGTGCACAATTCTCACCCGCGAACGAAATTTCAACCAATCAGAGCGGCGCGCCTCTGTGACGTCATATGAGGAATAGCTTTGAGAGCCGATGCAGAATTCATCTACATTTTAGGGGGTAAATTATCGTGTTTACAGGCTTGTATAAACCTGAAATCGTGACAATTGTTGTGGAAAATGAAAGCTATATGTTCTCACAATCTACTGTCATTTAATTTTGTCTCCTGCTTTGCCTAGTTTCCGAGTTACAACTTGTTTTCATAGACGATTCTGTCAAAATCGATTGGTGTCGTTAGGCCCTATTTGTATAATGACTGATCCAAATTGATCCCATTTCTGTGTTGTTTTACCTCGATATTTAATCATGTCATGTAAAATCTGTTTGTATTCTCAAAACAGTGTCGGCCCATAAGTTTTCACATGCAATACAGCAATTAATACTCCCTCGTTGTAACCCGTGTTAGGTGGTATAAACCTACACATGTTATTTGTCATCATTCACTTGATGGTCAGTTAATGAATTTATAACAGGTATAATTAGTGGTAACACACTTAGATTACCCGACAAAGGTTCCCATTTGGCATTTCTTGTGTCTGGAGTAAATATTCAACATTATAAACATCGATCAAAGGATTAACCGATAACACGCTGATTGATTAATTACTTTTATCTTACACAGCGGAATTGTCAAAAGGTAGTGTTTATGTATGTAGATTTACTAATCTATACTGAATACACTCTGTCGTGTCGGTGTCTGCGTAAAACAACGTCCTTCTTTCAAAGGATTAACCGGCAATACATTGATTGATTGCCCATTATTGGCTAACTAAATTACTGTTTTAAAGAAAGGCGGACATTATGCAATTAGTTGCCAGGTGTGCTATCTTGGGTGACCAATGAGACTATACACCAATACCTGAAAAGATTTATCACTTTTTCGTATATTAAACTGTTAAAAGACACATCATTTGGAACAGTTTTGTGGATATTGATGGATACATTCCTCGAACAAGGTAATGGCCTGATATTGTTCCTATAACTTTAATCTGTTTTAATTTTAATATTTGCATTTTGTTTTTATTCATTTGTCGTAGCATTCAACAGAATCATTGTTTTCGCCGTGAAGTGTAATGAGACAGACAACATGCACTAGGGTGTGTGTGCGAATTATGATTCACATTGGCAAACTATAAAATGTCTAGATATTACAGTTCTGTTATAAATTCACTATAAGTATCAGCAGATCGTCTGCTTTTATTTAGTTTCAAAATGCATACAAGTGTGATAATAAACTAATTGGGATTATAAGACCAAATATAAAGACGCACATTGACTAGTATCTACATACTGGTGAGTGGACATTAACCATGGGAATGTAGCAAGAAATTTATCGCGCAGTATTGTGACTTCGACCCCCACCTCGCTTCCGTGGAAGAAATCGTTATGTTATAAGTTGTGTCATGCAAAATCCGTTTGGTTATGATTCCAATACATATTTAACAACGAGTAGAAAGTAGTCTTGATTTTCTAACTTGATGAAAACAAACTATAATCTCATTAATTCTAACAGATTTTTTATTTTTAAAATGGCGGCGCCCTGTCGGGAACATCCGCCAGTCTGAGGATAAATGGTATTTAGGTTTGTTTTCACCGAGTCCCCTAAAATCAAAACTACTTTCTACTGGTAATAAAATATGTATTTTATTGATAGCCAATAGGATTTTGCATGACATAGCGTATATCATAACAATTTCTCTCGTGGCAGCGAGGTGGGTGTCAATATAATACTACTTACAATATTATTGTTACTTCGACCACAACCTCACTTCCGAGGAAGAAATCGTTATGTTACAAGTTGTGTCATAGAAAATCTTTATGGTCATCAATCATATGCATATTTTACTACAACTAGTAAGTAGTTTTGATTCTTTAACTTCCGTGAAGCGATCTGAACACAAGTAAGATATCGTTTCAGGCTTCCACAGCGCTCGCTTCGCACTCACAAACATAACCCATTTAGCACGAACTGCGGGGTCCTGTGGAAATCTGTGCATGGGGACACCATCGCCCGACCCCTAGGAGCAATTGACGACAAAGCAACGATTCGGCATGTCGTCGTTGATGTCGAGAAATCATCAAAATGATGAGCGTGCTACACATTTTCTATACAACTAACTGAAAATCGTTCCTCATATGACGTCACTGCAGTGCTCTGGCGACAGAGTTACGTAACCTGTCTGTGGTTTCGTTGGCGGGCGAGAGGGAAGCAGGCGACTTTTGGCCACTTTTAATCGCTCGGTATTAATTAACCACAAGTTTTTAAAGAATAAATTTGGTGTTCCGCATAAGACTAACCACAAATCTTTCATATGTAATGGTTAAAAGAGTAACAAAAAACAAAGTTTAGTGGTTCTTTAACACCAATCAGGCTATACACCATAAACAAAATGCATTGATTTATGGCCCGAGTTCGGTCTCTGTCACATTATGTAATTACACAGACAGGCAGGTGTGATACTTGAACACATGACATGTTATGATGTCTGTTGATTGCAAAATGTTATACACAAAAAATGAGCATGTATTTACAAAACCCAACATCTCTATATATACACACACAATTAGCCGTGAGGGCATCTGCAAATGAACCAGCCGTTACACTTGAGTGCACACCCACCCGCTCTGACTGGGTTCGGTATCCCGGCTGCTTCGTTTCTTGGGAAGTAAACCCAAGTACACAATATTGCACTTTTGATTTGCGATTGTACGCTTATAATTTTGTTTATATGTTTTTTCATAACCAGCAATGTATATTATATGTCATGAATAAGTGATAATTGTGTTTTAATTATGTTTGATTTTTTGGTTGCATGTGCCCTTTAACCACTAGGCTACTCTGCCGCCCATTGCACTGTTCCAGACATGTCAGGACGGTCTGAAATAGTCCAGTCTGTCACCAAGTGCAGTTCTCAACATAATTGGATAAATTGGAATTAATTTTGCACATCGCCTCATAATACACCTGACAAAAAGGAATAAATTTAATATTTTCAATAAAACCTAGGATCCAGTGGAGAGAATAAATATCTGGATTTTCTTTACGAACATC